CCGGCTGGGGACTTTGGGCGGCAGTATACGCCGTGAAGTGGTTTGCGGCCTGCCAGTAAACCCAAAGCAGAAGAAGTGACGTCAGCGGCTTAATTTGCCTAATCCTCCCCCAGGTTCAAAGAGTTCTCATGAACCTTTGTGGGAAAAGTACTGCGGTGTGAATGCGCCTAATGGTATACTAAAATCCATGTGAAAAAAAATTGCTTCTCACTGTTCTTAGGTCAAATATTTATGTGATTAAAAATGCGATTAATTTCGATTAATTAATTACAAAGCCTCTAATTAATTAGATTAATTTTTTTAATCGAGTCCCGGCCCTAATCATAATATATCATATATTTCCTTATCTGAGTCAGCTGAGCCGTATCTGGCTGTGCAACACTCGTGTCACATACTGTATGCATAAGTATTATTTTAAGCAACACATTAAGTTGACGAAACACTCGAGTCAAATGTAATTAAAGTCAGATCCACTCGTGTCTTGGACGGGGCAGTGATATCATAAACCTGTTAACGTACGCATTCAAACACTTTTTCTTTTACCAGCTGTATTCACCTTGCCGGTGCAGCTATGTGGCTTTGATCCTGGATAAAGTGTTTAAGTCATGGATGTTTAAAGTTTAACTTCTTCATTTTTGACTAGTATTAAAGTTCACTTTTCATTCAGGAAGTATGACGCAGCGCTGTCAGTACGCTTGTCCATGTTTGTGATTGGTCGAATGCTCCAAATACCACCCCTTTCATGTAAACGCGCACCTAACTAGATAGGACACGGCTGGCTTGAGCGATCCACTTGATAACCCGCGTCGTAGTACAGTTTAGCGAGAGCGCGTATGTTTTGGATTAGGCCAACCGGCTAACTCAAACATATCCAGGTTAGGTTGAACCAGCTTCGTAGTATAGGCCCAGGAAGAGTAGCTTTTGTCCAGAGCAACAGCTAATGGGGATCCTTAATAAACATAAAGCTCGGACTTGAAGGGATGGAATAATTGTGATTCCATGTTAACTAAATCGGTCTTCATTATCATTTCATCTTTTTATTCTGTTAATGGCATCTAGCATGTTGACACAAACCAGCAGAGGATGCCACCTTATCCACCCAGTGTATGAAGCTTTAGTCATTTTATAATCAATTTGAGTCATGAATATTTAATTTATTTTTGCTAAAAAAAATGTATCAAAGTTTATTTTTCAGAATAAGGCGTTTTACAATGTTATTAAAGTATACTGTTGTGTATAGTACATTTGAGTCTCCCTGTTTAATCATTTAATCATGCCAATATTTCTGTATGTCATTGGTTGTATTTGACAATCTTATGTATTATGTTCAAAAACTAAATCATATAAAAAAAGTTTGGTTTAATTAAATGGCCTGAAACAAGCGACATGCCTCGGGAAGATCAATGCTCTCTTTACATTTACAAATATACTTTTAAAAAGGCATACGTAGTAGTAGTATAACCTTTATTTATCCAGGAAAATTAATTAAGAACAAATTCTTATTTACAATGATGACCTGACAGGAGGCAAAGGCTTCCTGAGGGGATGGGGTTTGGGAGAAAAAATAAATAAAAAGACAGACTCCGGGCACTACAGAACCCAGGAGACAACACAAACACATAGAGCAAAGATGACAGGCATAGCAGTTAAACATATAAAAACTCTAAAACAACATTGCTGTGATTCAATCAGTCATTACTATCAGCATCAGGCAAAGCAGCTACATGTGTACCAGGGTGTCTATAATAGTGACATTGAAGGTGCGGGGGGAAACAAAGGTTTTCATTTACAACGTTTTTTGAATGACATTCCAGCTATCTGCTGCTGCAAATTGAAAGGCGGAGCGGCCAAAGGATGTATGGGCTTTGGGGATCTTTAGCAGGATGCTTGTAGCTGACATGGTGTTGTCCGTCGGGGGTGGGCGGAGTTGCAGTAATTGTGTGAGGTAGAAGGGGGTGAGGCCTTTGGGGTGAGTGTTTTGTAAACAAACATCAGCCAGTGGATGATGTGCCTGGTCTCAAGAGAGGGCCAGTTAGCCAGAGAGTACAGGTCACAGTGGTGTGTCCTGTAGGGGGCATTGGTGGCGAAGTGATACAGAACGTCTAAATCAGAGGTGCCCAGTACGTCGACCGCGGGCGACCGGTCGACCGCGGGGGCAATGCTGGTAGATCGCGAGTCATTCATACAAAAAAAAATCCTGTTCCGTTAAAATAGACAAAACAGGTTTTGATCCCTCCTCCCTTGGCCTCCTTGGCACTTAATTCAGGAGTTTACTTGATTGACAGAAAAAGCGACCTATCGCTTTCCAGTCTGTTAACCCAGAATGCAAAGCGATACAAAATCAGTCAAGTGCCGGGAAAACTCAAATTAAGTTAAAGAGACAAACAACAAAATGAGTGCGGGACCGAGCAAGAAGCTAAAGACATACCACTTCCACCCAGAATGGGAGGAAGAATATTTGTTTGTGATGTCACATTCAAAGGTTATTTGCCTTATTTGTAAAGCAAGCGTCGCTCTGCCAAAGAAAGGTAACGTGGAGAGGCATTATCGGAGTGTTCACAAGGCATATGACAGCGACTTCCCTCCGAGTAGCGAGTTGAGAAAGAGAAAGGTCATGTATTATTGCTACACAAATATTATCTCGCAATCTTAGTAATCCAACTCGTTTCTAACATGCAAAAAGACAAACAAATGTCGGTGTATTTTCGATCTTTCCAATCGAGACGAGATCTCTCTCCCCCGTCTGTGCGCGAGGGGGCGGGGCAGTTTACACACACGCGGCTGCTACAAGCAGCAACACACGGAGGAGATGGCGGAGAGAAGCGCTCCAAGGTGTGGTTAAATGTTACCCGTCTTGAGGTGGACAATGCTCCTTGCCAAGAGAGTTCAGCATGTGAGGGCGGGAACACGAGCAATGTGTCTAAACATTTAGCAAAAGTGCACCACATCCAGACGGAGGAATGCACCGGGTTCGACTGTCTTTCTAGCAGCTCTGTAGCCCCATCCACGAGTAACGTTTCCACGTCAGGTGTTATGTATGCTAGCAGCAACACACGCAGTTAACTCAATGATTCAAACATGGGTTAATGATTATAGGAAACTGAGTTACTCTTTATTTTGTTAAAGTTTCAGCTATTCTGTTCACAGTTCTGTCATCAGATTATTTAATAGGATTTGTTAAAACATTGTTGTTTCTTTTGATGTGAAATATTATTTATTTAATTTAAATAAAAAGCAATGTTAGTTTTGTTCACAATTTGTTAATTTAATAATATATGTATTTTTGAATCAAGTATTCATCTTTATTGTCTTCATTGTTAGTTTCCACATGCCTAAAACAACCTCAAGCTAAATCTAAAAGTTGATGGCTAAACAAGAGCGTTTGAGAAATTGTGCAAGGCATACAGTAATAGTCTGAATAGTCGATTAGTCGTTTCATTAATCGATAGATTAATCGATTATCAAATTAGTCGTTTGTTGCAGCCCTATTATCCCATGTATAAATAAAACGTGTTATTCAGCAACCCTTGCAATTTGGGATTTTATTTTTGGTTGGTAGACCTCGGTGAGCTGGTCATTTCAAAAGTAGCTCACCAGCCCAAAAAGTGTGGGCACCCCTGGTCTAAATGATCGAGAGCTCCTTTACATGCCGAGCAGTAGATGGTATCGCCGTAGTCGAACAGAGGAAGGACAGTCATCTGGACCAGAGTTTAGCAGATGAAGTGAATGAGGAGCTATTCCTATATAGAAAGCTGAGTCTAGCTTTAACCTTGGTCTGAATTTTGGAGAGATTACTGTCAATCCAAAATATTTATAAGATTTAACTATTTCAAGGTCCTGGCCATCGGCGGTCACAATAGTGCCAGTTTGGGAGGCACCACTGCGGCCAAACCACATGATCTTGGTTTTAGTGGTGACCAGGCCAAGGGCAGAGAGATGTGACTGGATTCTCTGAAAACTATCCTGAAGAGTTTTCAGGACAGTATCTGGGGAAGGGCCAGCAGTGTATAGAATCGTGTCATCGGCATATAGGTGGATAGAGGAGTTGCCCACTGATTTCTCCATGTCATTTATATATATTGAGAATAGGTAGGGTGCTAGGATAGAGCTTTGTGGTACTCCCTTAGAGATGGATAGGGGCTGTGTCATCAGATTTTACACACTGGGTGCGCAAGGACAGGTAGTTTTCAAACCAGGCTATCGATTAGTGGTTAGTGACACAAATGCATCCAAGCTTTCCCAGAAGCAGTTGGTGACCTACAGTGTCGAAGGCTTTGGCAAGATCGATGAAAATGGCAGCACAGTATTGTCTGGAGTCAAGGGCATTGATGATATCATTTAGGACTTTTATAAAAGGCATACAATCCCTGTGAATAAGATCAGTGGCTGTACAGTCGGGCACAGACAGGTCAGCTTTCCTCCTGTGAGCAGTGTCTGCTGTGGGTGACACAGAGGGCAGCCAGCAGAGGTGCTGTGAAGAACGAGAGAAGACACAGGGGCAGCCCCACACAGTCCTCTTCAGAAGAGTGATGGCCCCTGCAAGACTACACCGAGTGTAGCATCTTTTTCCATTTAAGAGACTCGCCCCTCTCCGCACTACCACCTCATTCAACTTCAATCTAGCTAGGATTTCCTTTCACCATTTAGGAAGTGCATTGTCCTGCCTCTGGGAGTGATGTGACAGGACCCTGCGACTGCTCAGGGAAGAAGCGGGGTCATTGTATCAGGTGAGCGCCTGTTTAGTCGTGAGCACTACAGGACGGGATGAGTCCAGACAGGTGAGGAGTGAGTGCACTGAATCACTCTGTGGGTCTAAAGGAAAGGGTCTGCACAGAACACTTTGGTTTTAGGGTTCAACAGCCATGTTACTTCCATATCCGTGAATACAGATTCAAATCCATGAACCTACAACCCATCATGAAGGCAAGGCTGCCCCCTAGTGGTTTGAAATCAGGCAGAAATTCAAAACTATAAAATTCACAAAAAAGACGACAATTGTAATCATTTTCACCAACTCTTTATTAAAGATTAAATCATCTTTATTAACTTCTCTTTTTACAGTATTTTAATAACATTGATAAAGACAAACAAAGCACTACATAAAGGAATGAACAAGGACAGGAACAATGAAGAACAGGAAAGAAAAGCATTAAAAAGTACACGATTTCCAAATGAGCTCAACCCCTCTGGACTTTGCTGATGAGCTCATCACAAAGTGTGGTGAGATCTTCTGCCTCTTTTTCCTACAAAAAATAAAAAGGGAAAAAATTATAGAATATTTGATATTTAATAGATTTATAAACAAATAACCGCCATGTAATGTTGTCCTCTTCTCTCACCTTCTGGACCAGGCTCTTCTCCAGCGACTGCACCTTCAGCTGCTCCCTCCTCAGCTGGGCTTGGAGGGCAGATGTCTCAGACTTGTTCTTGTACCGAACCTCATTAATCTCCCCGTTTGCTCTGAAGGACAACAGATGTCAGTCAAACGCTGCAAGTCTTGCATTTGACACTTTCAACAGAGTGCAGTGAGGTTTCTTACTGGCCAATCTTCTCCTCGGCGTGGGCTTTAAGGGTCTTGTAGCGCTGCTCCTCCTTTCTGATCCTTTCCAGATAGTCCTGAGCACAGGCTTTCAGAGTCTCTTCATTCTGCAGGAAGGCCACAGGAAACATGTTACCAATCATACTGGTATTGCTATTTCTTTAAACTACGTCATGCAATTTGTGGATTATATCCGGGCAAGTGTTGTTTTCTAACCTTTTTGAAGCCCTCAACAACATCCTTGTACTTGTCCAGTCTCTTGAACAGGTCGGAGCACGATCTCTCCATGGTGTTCAGGTCACTGGAGACCTGCTCCTTTTCGATAAGAGCCGCAGTGAGCTTCGTCTGGGCCACCTCCCTCTCTTTCTCTTGATCAGCTGAAAACAAGAGTTAAAAGCTCTTATCATGACACCGAAAAGTCCCAAGACAAAAGGCACGTATATTACATATATTAACTCACCCAGCATTTTAGCAATCATGAGCTCAAACTCTGCAATTATTTTCCTGTAAAAAATAATTAAGAGTTGTCAAATTTCCTTTAAAAAACTAAATAAATGTTTTTTTTATGTTAAACAAACTCAAAACGAGCCTACCTCATTTCTTGACCATCGTCAATTGTTCTTTTATATTTTGCACTCCATTGATCCTCTGTGTCCTTTGCCTATTTGAAAGTAAGACAATTATTGTTATTTATTAATAGTAAGGGATTACGTATAAAATGTTTCAAATCAAGAGGCGACTTTTAATGTACATTTATAGAAACCTGCATGTTTCAGTAATACAATGTCAAGTTTATACAAAACCACCATTTATTTTTAAAAAGCATTTATTTGGGAGCTTAAATCCTAGCAAATTTGGTTTAGAATAAAGTCCCTAATGGAGGAATCACAACAAAAATAAAGGATTATCCCTCTTTTTTGAAAATGTATCAGTAAATGATGAAAAACCCTGTAAATCGAACAATCACTGCCTGTTACACATTTCTCTATTTAGCTTGTGTTGAATAAGATTGCTCTAAACTACTCTGGGGATTGTTTGATTACCACAGAAACCATAATATATTCACGTGATTTTGGTCTTTACAAATGGTTTGTATTCACAAAGACACAAACAAAATGGACTTCAAACAGAAACCCTCTTCCTGACTGTTATTTGTCAAATGAACAAACACTGAGCAGGACATACTTGTGCCTGGACTCTGGCGATGGCGGCGTCCATGTCCTGCTGACTGTACCTCAGCACTTCAATAATGGCCTCCTCTGTGTTCTCTGTCTGAGGGAAAGGAGGGACGAGGTCTGCAAGGATTGGGGAAGCCTAGACGACAGTTCCAGTGTGAATAAATCAGGTTAGGCGAAGCATTGAATGTCATTTCCACACTTATTTTAAGAAACATTGCCATGCAGTCAGTGGTGGAATTGTTACAGTGACTCACTGGATCAAACAGTTGGAAATCATCCCTTTGTGCTCCGCTTGCATACTTTTCTGGCATCTGAGAAGTTTCAAGCCTGAGTTTGGAGGAAAAAACCAAAACAACCTTACTTGTCAAGTGGTCAACGTGGTTACATTTCAGACACATCTCATTTTGTTGAAGAAGATGTCAAAATCGGAACAAATTCAGCTCTAACGTTCAGTGACAGCCGTAATCAGAGTGAGTGGAAACAGAAGTACATCATACCGTGAAACAAAGGCGGCGGGGCGAGGCACAGGGGCCTGAGCCACGGGGGCTGCACACTTCTTGGGGCTCTCTCTCATCAGGGGGTCAAATTTAAGGTACAAGGATTGTTTCCTCAATGCAGATTCCTTGAACTGTTGACAAAAGAAACATTTAAGTTTATTTATGTCATGCACTGACGATCAACAAAAGGTAGTCATTCAGGACAGGATACACAGAGTGAGTACTTACACTGCGGGACCCAAACTGTTCCAGGTAATCCATTTGTCCATCTAAGTCATTGGCCATGACTAAAGATATAGAGGATAGTTACCGTCAAATAAGGATTACATTTATGTACATCATGCTTCACAGATAGTGACATTACCTGTGTTTTTCTGTTATCACAAACTTCATACTAAAAGTCAAGTGAGGGTAAAAGAAACATTTGGGAGCTTTGTGGAAACTGGACAAAATAGAGTCTAATGTTTCCTTACACATCGTTCCAGGAACAAACTCGTCATTGAATTCTGGCTGGGCGGTCTGCGTCTTCTGCTCAGGTTGACACAGATCAAAGCGGCCAGGAAGACTCTCAGTGGGTTGCTGAACTTCCTGTTGAACTTCGAGTAGAAATCCGAAGTCATGATCAGGAGCTGCCTTGTCTTTAGCATCCTGACATTTCATAAAAATAAAAATGTATGTCTTTGAAAAAAACATTCAAACAAGGGAATGTAAAATGGATAAAGATTGTATCAAACTGCATTACATCTCTTTCCGCTTCAGGGAGGACTTCTGCAGCCGGGACACTCTCTCCAGCGCTACAGAGAAAAGCATACACACTTAGTGAAATAAAGTTCTACTAGCAAGTGAAGTTTCTGCTTCAAATAAATGATAAATACACTGATAAAGAAGGAAAACGTACCATTCTGATGACAATGCTTCCTTCTCCGCTGGCATGTCCACTTTCTCTGGAATCAAATGTTCCATGATCACAGGGTCAGATAGCACAGGTTCAGCGTACTTGCTACACTGTGGAGAGTTGGTCATCATGCTTGCTTTTGTGCCAAAGGGATTGAAGTTTGAGTCATCAAACTTGGCCATGTCAAATGAGTAAGAACCTTTGGAGAGTGGAACATCAGCCTCACCACTGGCATCAGGCTTCACTGGAGCTTCTTTAGGTGGTTTCACGTCACATTCTGGCTTTCCCTCTTTAGGTTTGACACCAGGTCGCCTTTTGCCCAATTTCTTGGGTGGCGGTTTACGTTTGACCTCACTGCCATCGTCAAAATTGAACTCAAGTTTGACTGCTCTTTCCTGGGTATGGGCATCAGCTGGCTGGGATGTGGATTCAGCAGCTGGAGTTTCGGCAGCATTAGTTGTGATTGGGGCCGCTGCTGGTGTCATCTCAGGTTGAACATCTTTAGCTTCTGTTGATTCATTTCCCTTCATCTCAGGTTGAACATCTTGAGCTTCTGTGGATTCATTTCCCTTCATCTCAGGTTGAACATCTTGAGCTTCTGTGGATTCATTTCCCTTCATCTCAGGTTGAAGTTGAACATCTTGAGCTTCTGTGGATTCATTTCCCTTCATCTCAGGTTGAACATCTTGAGCTTCTGTGGATTCATTTCCCTTCATCTCTTCAACTGGTGGGTTTGCTTCTGCCACCTTGCTCCCAATGAAAGGGGAATTTGGAATTTTAGAGCCACCCGTTTGGAAAGGATTGACCTCATCAAGGTTGTCAAAATCCAAAGAATAAGAACCCTTCGTTGGCAGTGGAGCATCTTCCACAAAACTGCCTGAAGAATAGTCTTGAGTGACATTTAGAGACTGTTGTTTTTCATCAGGTGTGGCAGTGCAGGAATCTTGTTCTTCCATGGCAGGGACCTTCAACACTGTGACCACGCTGCTCTCTGCGGAGCTGATGTTGGAGGTGGTGTCAAACAGGGAGTGATCCACAGGTGGGGCGAAGGGAAGCGTATCATCTAGAGCAGATTCTATTTTGGTGGGGTCAAAATCCAAAGAATAAGAACCCTTCGTTGGCAGTGGAGCATCTTCCACAAAACTGCCTGAAGAATGGTCTTGAGTGACATTTAAAGACTGTTGTTTTTCATCAGGTGTGGCAGTGCAGGAATCTTGTTCTTCCATGGCAGGGACCTTCAACACTGTGACCACGCTGCTCTCTGCGGAGCTGATGTTGGAGGTGGTGTCAACCAGGGAGTGATCCACAGGTGGGTCGAAGGGAAGCGTATCATCTAGAACAGATTCTATTTTGGTGGGCTGCTCTGCGATATTCTCTGTTTCTGTGTTTGGAGACTCTGTGTGAGGGTTATCAACAGCAGACTTCACGGGGGAGAGGACCATCTTAACAGAACCCTGAAATGGATTGAAAGCATCGAGGTTTTCAAAGTCCAGCTGATAGCCTCCTTTGCTTTGTATGGGCATGTCATCGTCAGGATAGGATGATACTTCTGTGGAAAATTCAAGAGGATTATCACTTTTGCAGCCTTTAGAGACATTCAGGGAAAATAACTTTATGATGTGTGATGATTTACCTTGTTTGGGTTCATCATGTAAAGAACTATAAAGACAGAACAGACTTGGTTACTTAAATGCAACACACATTTATCTGGAAGAGTATCGCAGTATCAGAAATGTTACTTACTTAATTGGACCCAAAGTTAAGGAATCGATTGCTTTGGTACACTCATCCACACTTGACATCTTAAGAGACTTGGATGGAGAAGATACGATTCTTTTAGTGGCAGGGTCTCTTCTTGGAGTCTGAAAACAAACCTACACACAAGTAATTTGATTAGGATTGTAGATAAATCCTAGATAAAAAAAAAAAAAAAAAATCATATTTAGAAAAGATGACTAGTGGTCAGAAGCTATCATCCCAGTCCTGCATAAAGAGGGAAAAGACCCCCTACAGTGCACTAGTTATCGCTACATAAGTCTTTTATGCGTTGATTACAAAATACTAACTTAATTTTACTCTTTATAAAACACCCCCTAATTTATATTCCAGCCCTTATGCAGTGCTTGTCCAAATATGGGGCAATTTCAGAATACAAAATGAAATCAGAGGCAATGATGATAACAGGGCGTTGGCCCACACAATTAAACAAGGATGTTTCTTACCGCTGGTCCAAGCAGGGGTTTAGATATCTAGGGATTATCCTTACTCACCACCCTATGCATTTATTTGAGGCTAACTAGAATACATTAATAAAGCAACTAAAGAATGACATGATACGTTGGGAAATTCTCCTCCTCTCGCTATTCGGAAGGGTAGAGACTATAAGAATGAAGCTACTTCCTCGATTACTCTTCTTATTTCAATCCCTCCCCGTGGGAATTACAGCCTCAATGTTCAACATGTTAAATAGACTTATCTCTAAATTTATTTGGCAGAATAAGAGACCCAGAGTAAGACTTACAACTCTTTTCCTACCAAAAGATAAGGGAGGCTTAGGCCTGCCAAATTTAAAATATTATTATTGGGCTGCTCAGTTAACGGCAATAATGGCCTGGATTAGAAAGGACGAGGAAACAGGATGGGCACAGATTGAGCAGAGTGCAACTAGGGGTGTGTCGTTATCAGTTTTGCCTTATATTGATATCAAATCCGTCAATAAAGTTAAGATTGAGAACGAATGGATAAAGCATACCCTAAAGTTGTGGACGGCAGTTAAAAAAAAATGTCAGGAGCCCAGAATCAATATCAAGAGCAATGCCAATTGTAGGCAATATAGAGTTTCCTCCATCTGTAAGGGATGGGGGATTTAAAAGATGGGCCGATAAAGGTCTTATCAATTAACCAAATGTTTGATGGAACAGATGTCAAATCCTTCTCCCAACTTCAAGAACAATATGGGCTCCCGTCAAATGATTGTATAGGTACTTCCAGATAAGACACTATATTACAAGCCACAAGGAAAGAGAAGCAGTCCGAACAAATTATGGCAAAAATCATAATCACGATTATTTGGTCAATAATTGATATCACGATTATTTTGACGATTATTCATTTATTGAACTTTAAAACAAATAATATTTTACCAATAAGCAAGATCAATAAATGTGTTGGAACGCACTTGCAAAACCATACTAAACATATATTAATATGATAAATAAAAATAAATTAGAACAAAATAAATGAAATCAAATATGATGCAGTGCACTGTCACAACCTACTGAAAACTCCTTAACATATAGCCAACATTTCGGTAAAACATATTCAACATATTCCACTCAGTTAAACGTTGAAGGCTGGCCAACCGTCATGGTCCAGAAGTAACAGAAAATAAATGTTGAACTACAATTTAAGACCAAATAAAAATGTTTAGGCCACCATGGCAAATGCTGGTAGGACTGCTCATTTCATCTCTTAAAGGTTTTTTGCAAGAAACACCAGGCTGTTTACATGGTCTGGTTTCAGAGATGAGCGCAGGCAGGTGACGATATTGCCACCTGTACTGAAGACCCTCTCTGAAGAGGAACTTGTGACAGTGCTGCCACATATGACACAGGAAAAAAAGAAAAGACTCTGAAGAACCCTTTCTTTGCCATTATATAAAAATAGTGTTGCTACAAAAGTATAAATTAGGCTTACTAATAAGACAACTCAGATCTGAAGCTACACAGTAATCTGCTGCAGCAACAGTGCAATAAAAAAGACAACATTAATAGAATCAAACCCATTTTTTGTTGCATTTTATTAGAGTATACAAATAAATGCCTTTAAAATAGGATGCAAGCAACACTAGTTTCTGAACTGATAGACTATAATCAATTTAAACAGAACAGATCTTAATGTTTGCATTCTTATACCATTTTGTACAATAATTATCATGAATAAATTCAAACAAACTAAAACTTACAGCAGATTAATAACGGTATCTAAATTGAGTTTTTATTATATCAAAAACCTGTTGAAATGCTACTGTTATTTTTACTGTCCCCCAAAAGCGCATCGGTAGCCTCCAGGAATGCTTCTTTCATAACTTCGCCGTCTTCGAAAGACTTCATGTGTTTCGCAAGAACGTGACTGACACGATAATATGCTCTGGTAGCAGCCTTGCTCTTGTTGTTGGGCCTGGTGAAAATGGACTGCTGTGCATTTAGCTGTCCTTTCAGGCCCCTCCCCTTTTGGAGCGTAGGGCAGAATTAGGAGGGAATTCCGTCTCGTAGCATTTGTGCACTGTTTTGAAATGCCGCTCCTAAATTACCCTTCTTCGATAAAGCCACGCTCGCATTGCAGATGAGACAGATGGAATTTGAATAGGAATAGATACAAAAATAATGATCCTCCCGCTCGGAGTGAAAATTATATATTTTGGGCTTTTTTGCTTCTGCCATAATTGCGGTCTTGTGTGTGTGCGGACTGTCACTCCTGTTGACCATCCATGCTGTTGACACGGACAACGTCAGCGAACTAGTGCACTGCTCACCAGCCACGCCCGGACACATGGGGTGAGGCCGGCCAATCACAAAGCTTTGATGCGTTCAAGTGCATTATTCTGGCACGGGAACATTATGTTACAGGACATTAACGATAAAACAGAATATTGTTGTTCTATTTTTAGACACATCTCATGATCGACTGGGAATCTCCCCGCGACCCTTCTTTTTAACTAGTTGCTGCTCTTGTTCTGACATCTTCGCTTGCGCTGAACACTCACAACACATGTCACTCCCACGTGGCCGAGTGGGCTTTTAGGGAGGGGCGAAAGCGCACCCAGCAAAATAATCGTATTTTGTCAATTATGCTGTTTTCCTAATCGTCGCAAGCCATAATCGTAATCGCGATTAAAATACGATTAATTGCACAGCCCTATTATAGAAGAATATTTTATTAGTATTGCAGAAAAATGCTTCCCAAATAAGAAACATGTCTCTCACTTATATAAGAGGCTTATGGCAGACGGCTCCCAAAATACCTGGAATGTTGGAGATAAATGGGAATTAGAACTAAACTAAAAATGCAAAACCTCCAACAATCATTCAGTGGATGCACAGACAACAAGTCTACACGATGGAAAAAATGATGGTGAGCCTGCAGCTAAAAATGGACTCTTTTACCCAAAGATGGAACGGTGTTAAAAGATATCTGGATGTATCACTGGATTTGCTTTATTTAATTCCTTACTATACTTTGCTTTATCATGTAACCATCTGTCATTTGAAAGAAAACGACCTATGTCAGGATATGTCTTGTCTTGTTTTGTTAAAATGAAAATAAACAGTTCGAAAAGATGAACAGGAAACTAATAAATGGCCATTTTCACATATTTGTATCTAACAATGTTAGTACACTTAAAACGGTCCTTTAGCTTTGACCACCAACAAACACAAGTGCTTTTTATTTGATCACAGTCTGTTTAAAGTCGTGTAGAGCTATGCTGTAAATACATTGGGGCATTCAATTGTTATACTAAGGTAACTAATAAAACAAATTCAGACAAATAGTTAACAAGCAGGCGTCAAACCCCCATCTATCACTTCAGGTTAAGATCTAATTGTGTACATCATTTCTCCCTTGGCGTCATAAAAACAGTGTTAAAAGAATCAAGATAAAATGGGGACAGGACATTTAAGATAAAAGCGAGCTGGTTCTGTACCTTAGCCGCCTTTGGCACCGTCTTGCTGGGCAGGTTCTCTGTCTGTCGCAGGATGGAGGGCCTCCCAGTCGGCTGATCCAGAGCAAATATGTCGTTAATTGAGCCGTTCTGCTTTCCTCCAGGGCAGACCCCACGATTCTCATCATTCACAGCAACAGCACTCATCCTGTAATAGCAGAGGGACAAATTGTAAGATATGGGGCCAGGAGTGATCTGATGAAACTGAGGGCGGCGTCATCATGAAAGCTGCAACCCCTTGATAAGAAATGTTTGGTTGTAGAGTTTACTGATGCATGTTAAAAGCAGTGGTGAACCGTCAGGACCTTCAAGGTATTCAGAGAATGCCCTGGAACACTCAGATAAAAACAAACAAAAAATCAATTTAATTATATAAATAAAATGTATATAAAATGAATAAATGAGAATCATATCTGTGTTGTTGATCTGTAATATTACAGTGTTACGTTGATTTGTGTGTCCTTCTCGGACCATGCACTACGGCGGCGTGTGTGTGTCTACAGAAGGTCCAGTTGTGATACGGTTTGCCATTGGTTAAAAGGATCTGCACCAAGAAAGATTACATAAAGTTATCAGTGTTTCCCCAATATACAAATAGTGGCGGCGCAGCGCCGCTGCTGAAAAATGCGCGCCGCTGCTAAGGGGCCAGCCAGGTACCCAAAAAAAATTAAAATAATTTGTTTTTGCTTTTTATTAAAATAATAATAGGCAACCCTTTTTAATTTTTTATAGTTTGTTATGTGGATTTGTGTTACTGTATGTTCAATAAAAGGTGTATTTTTGCTAAATCTTGAGACATTGCCACTGTATGTACTGGCAGGGCCGATTTTTGGCATAGGCGGTCGCCTAGGGCGATAGATCTGGGGGCGCCGTGCTGGTAGCTATGGGAGGGGAAAAAACATTTGAGCGTTGGTGCTCATCCTAATTTTCGGCCTTGATGTAGCAACATTCATAATTAAGTAAATGTAACACCCTTTTCACCCCAGTTACACTTTTCATTTGCCCTGTACGATGGGCGCTGTAAGTGATGAAAGTGGGGGATGTTGGCTTATCAGGCGCCCGCAGCTGCGAGCGTGGGAGAGAGAGAGAGAGGGCGCACCGGTACTGTTATTAGAATCTGGTGCTCGCTGCGCTAACGGATATAAGAAGTAGGGATGCCTGCGATTATTCGTTACAGTCTCCATAATCGAATATTATTTTTAAAAATCGATTTTATTTATATATTTTTTTTATTATTATTTATGTTTTTTTTTCTTTTCTGGCTTAGTTTCAACCAAAATATAGACTAATGCTAATAATAGTAATAGTATTAACAATTGTAAATGGCCATTGGTCACACCACCAGTTTGTTTTACTGTAAACTTGGAGGAAGCCTGCGTGCAGAGCAGACTGCTTGCTGCACGCTACAAACAGCGTAATATACCATCTGACAAAGGCCTGTCCTATAATGCTTCAATTAACTGCTATTCTTTATAATATACTCAGATCAAGAGGAGACAGAGATGTTAACTATAAAAAGTGCAGTTCAGCATATCCACATGACCTAATTTCAAAATGAATGTAACTTATAAATCAGCTTCGGGAAACAAATATGGAATTTTTCCGCTTTTAAAAAAGGCCAAGAGAATTAATGCCGGTTATAATAAGACATGGGGAATGACTTTGACTCACTGAAACATTTTAAGTTAATTTGGTTAGTAGTTTCCAACTGACTTTGGACATTTCAATAACTATGTGGTGCTTTGTCAGCTTTAAACAATCTTCAAAATGTTGCTATAAAGACACATTTGACACGCAAGTTATTATTAGTGAATTATGTCTTTGTCTTTTTCTGGACCTGCTGCCAACATTAACATCCATCCATCCGGGACTTCCAGCAGCCGTTACCCAGAGTTAGCGTTCAACACTGCATGGAATCAGACAACAGGTAACGGTATGGTGCGACTCAACGTTGACAACTTCTTGTCTATAATGTCCAACAGTAGAATATAATAAAGTAACTACTGCTGGTTTCACTAACGGCAACCGACAAACATTTAGCTAAACAACTGCCATAATTAGATGAAATACACCGTACACGAAGATATCTAACGTAAGCGTTGACAGTAAAAATAGCAACAAAAGCTGTGTAAGCTAAGCTAACGTTAACGTAAAGTTATACTAATCTATGTATATGTCATTTAGTCTAATGATAAAACTTAACAACAGTTAATGTAAAGCGGAGGAAAACGTAGGACCACACAACAGAGCAGGTAGGTAGTAAGATACTATTATCACAATATATTCAGCACGTACCTTAAAAACAGTTGCAGTTGTCCGAAATCACAACGTCTTTCGTCAACGCATGAGAATGACTGGTGTCGTTTTGAAAACCCCTCGCATTCAATGGGCGAGAACCGTTTGGATTTTAAAGCTAAATGTACCAATACAATTGCCAGAATCAGTAAAAGGAAACGCACTTCCTGGTTATGTAGCCAATCGCGCTGAAGAGCGGATATGATGTAGACGACGGCTGCGCCCAATGGGAGAACCGCAGGGATAGACGGATAGACATGGCAAGAGAATTGTTATGGCAACTAAAAACTCAAACAAAACGGACTAATGGAGAACATTTAAAAGTTATCGACATTCTCTTCAAAGCTTGCTTCTTATTGCTAGCTGCTCTTCGAAATGCACTAATGGTTGATGTATTTAGTTACAGTTAATATAACCCAAACAGCTCACAAAGGCACGTATTGACAAAGCAATATACCTGTAACAGGGCTATAAGCTCACATCCCTGTTGAATATATAAACATCCCTGCATGACTGACTTTGCTATAAAGGGCTATAAGCTCACATCCCTGTTGAATATATAAACATCCCTGCATGACTGACTTTGCTTTGTGCGCCATAAAAAAGCACTGAAAGCAAAGTGTCAAGAGAGTACGGTGGCCCTGAAGTGCAAGACACCACAGCATTTCACAAAACGCAACAGCATTTCACAAAACACAACAGCATTTCACAAAACACAACAGCATTTCACAAAACACAACAGCATTTCACAAAACTCAACAGCATTTCACAAAAGGCCGCAGCATTTCACAAAACACCACAGCATTTCACAAAACTCCACAGCATTTCACAAAACACAACAGCATTTCACAAAACACAACAGCATTTCACAAAACTCAACAGCATTTCACAAAACACAACAGCATTTCACAAAACACAACAGCATTTCAGAAAACACCACAGCATTTCACATTGGACGGAAAGGGTATTCCTTAGGGAGAACACTTCTTGTTTGTGATTGGACAGAGCCAGCCATAGAAGCACTGCTGTGATTGGTTGTTTTTGCTGCCAGTCAAGAAATGACGCTTCGTGATTGGCCCAACACATCAGCCGTTAGCTGTTAGCACACACTCAGAGCTCACAGCTCCTCATATCTGTTCAGAAACTGTACAAAAGTTCAACATATACATAACACAGACTGTCTATATCATGGTGAATACAGTCGCTGCTTTATTTATGTCTGTATGACGTTGTTGTGAGTGTGGACGGAGCAGCTACAGGTTAGTTTAGTCTGATCGATCCGATTCCAATAGGATTTACATGGAGATACGGCCGGCCCGCCCCCTCTCCAGCGTCTTGTTTGAATGACAGGAGTAAACACAGAATTAATGCTTTATTAATTCATGGTTTTTAAGGGGCTTATCTCCATGTAAATACTATGGTAGACCACCCAATATTCGCATTGCTCTAATCGCTCGAGTTTCACCGCGGCTGTCAGCTGTGTTTGCTCCTGTCATTCAAACAAGAGGCGCGGAGAGGGGGCGGGGCGTATCTCCAAGTAAATCCTATGGGAGATACCAACTACAACAAAATGAACATATTTGACCGTGATTTAATTGTAATACACGTTTCAAAGTGATGCCGAAGTAACTACATACTGATAACGGTTAGTAAAAACCTTGAATTAACGCTTTGACAAGTCTGCAGATAAGACGGCAGGCGAAAAGCTTTTAAAATGCGTGTTTTCTGAATGGAATCGGATCCATCAGGCTAAACTAACCTGTAGCTGCTCCGTCCACTCTCACAACAATGTCATACAGACATAAATAAAGCAGTGACTGTATTCGCCATGACACAGACAGTCTGTGGTTTGTACATGTTTAACTTGTGTCCAGTTTCTGAACAGATATGAGGAGCTGTGAGCTCTGAGTGTGTGCTAACGGCTGATGTGTTGGGACATATTTCGCTGTCGGGTGTTGACCAATCACGTAGCGTCATTTCTTGACTGGCAGCAAAAACAACCAATCACAGCAGTGCTTCTCTGGCTGGCTCTGTCCAATCACAAACAAGAAGTGTTCTCCCTAAAGGAATACCCTTTCCGTCCAATGTGAAATGCTGTGGTGTTTTCTGTAATGCTGTGGTGTTTTGTGAAATGCTGTTGTGTTTTGTGAAATGCTGTGGTGTTTTGTGAAATGCTGTTGTGTTTTGTGAAATGCTGTTGTGTTTGTGAAATGCTGTGGCGTTTTCTGAAATGCTGTGGTGTTTTCTGAAATGCTGTGGCGTTTTGTGAAATGCTGTAGTGTTTTGTGAAATGCTGTAGTGTTTTGTGAAATGCTGTAGTGTTTTGTGAAATGCTGTTGTGTTTTGTGAAATGCTGTGGTATTTTCTGAAATGCTGTAGTGTCTTGCACTTCAGGGCCACCGTAAGAGAGGGAGGATTTATCTTATTTCCTTTATAAATAAAGGCAATATACTGATCCTGTTGAAGGTTAAAGTCCCCAAAATGTCCCAAACTAATTTGATATAAACAAATATAGACAAAACAAGAAATGTTAAACTGTCAATTTGAGGTTTATTTAATACATTTTTATTTCATTTTCGCCTGCATGTTTTACTTGAAATAGCATACTCATGGTGATGTAATTGTTGTTGTTGTGCTCCTTGTAAGTCATTATATTTGTGGGGACAGTACGACCAGCAAAAGAGACAGTTCATTTAAATGATTACCCCTTATTCTGATGTTTGTATCCTTCGAAAAAGCCAAATAAAGCCATGATGTTACACTCTGCTACAACAGATGGCGGTATGCACCTGTCATGCTTGAGTGTGGCCCTCAAATAAGAAGAAGAAGAAGAAGAAGAAGAATAGTATGTCAACCGCTTCTGAAAACCAACGAAGAAGAAGTGGAGGAAATCTGCCCGCCAATTTCGAAGGATGTAAACATAACAACCTCTTTCGTCGGACAGTCGGAGTGTGCAATGAAGGAAGAAGCGTTATATTTGACATCTTAACAGCGCCAATTAATCGTCGCCAACAATGAATTCCAGTGGAAAAGGTAGCACACTAAACATATATTTATTAGAGTTGCAAACTAACCGCTATATAGTTTTTGCGAAATGTCAAATGTTGTTGGTAATCCTAGCAAGTAAGGTGACCCAATCCGAGACTGCTAGCATGGCTATGTTAACTCGCTTTAAAGCTAATATATTAAAATATAGCCATTTTGAACGTGCAGAGAGCTTTCAACAAAATGTTACGTCACTGTAAGCTTGTTGTGTTTAACGTTAAACGTTGTCACCAAAACGTGTACACTTGTGTATAGATTGTGTTATTGTACAGATCTAGGAAGTCAAAAAGTCATTAAACAAACGTTAACAATCGTATAATTTTGTTTAACTTTACAGGATCTGGCGATTCATCCCAACTTGTTGCCAGGTAATGTACCTTTAGGACGCTTTGCTTGGTTCATTCAAAGCATTAAACAAATATATGTTTTTATAAAGATATAGTGGAGTAAAGGCTTCTACAATATGTCAATGTGTGTGTGTGTGTGTGTGTGTGTGTGTGTGTGTGTGGTGTGTGTGTGTGTGTGTGTGTGTGTGTGTGTGTGTGTGTGTGTGTGTGTGTGTGTGTGTGTGTGTGTGTGTGTGTGTGTGTGTGTGTGTGTGGTGTGTGTGTGTGTGTGTGTGTGTGTGTGTGTGTGTGTGTGTGTGTGTGTGGCTTAAGAAATATGTTGAATGCCAAATATATATACTTCATAATAGAAGTAGTAACTGCAGTAATATGTTTTTTGTCATTGCTTTAATATATGTGACATTTTGGATAATTATTACTACTGCATTAGTGTTTGTGTTGCATTTCACTGCCCTAGATGTTATCATTTTTGTAATTTAAACTACTTTATTCCATGCTGTTGAGAGGTTTAGTCTTATTTCTGGTCCTACAGCAGTGACGGGGATTCCATCAAAGTGTTTGTGAGAGTACGACCTTTGACCTATAAGACTGGGCTGACCACAGATGGAGACCAGAAGCTTTGTCTCACAGTTACCTCAGCCAACACCATCCGCCTGCTATCAAAACCAGAACCACGAACCTTCACTTATGATCATGTTGCTGACATGGAAATATCTCAGGTTGGGAGCACACAGTTTTTATATCGTTTGTCAGCCTGGAACGTAGGGCTGCAATTATAAAATGATTGTTATTATCAATCAATGTGCCAATTATATTCTATGTTAATTAGTGTGAATGCTATGTACAGCATTCCACTATAGTTCTTCTGTTTCTTTAATCTTCTTCTTCCTTTTTTTATTATTTCACCAAATAGTTTGGCTCTCAATAACTACAGCATACTTTCAGCTACAGAAACCATTCAAATATTAAAATATTCAGCCTTTTCAGCACATGATGGGAAACGTTCAACTTTGTCAAAATATGTTATACTTTTTGAAATATTCAGCTTTTTAAACTCTTTTTGTAACATGGAACTCAATGGGAGGAACCTTCAAATCCTCTTTTACCTACACCGTGCGCCAAATGCTACTCCTCCCACATACTTTCAGCTAGAGACTTCATTCCAACTTTAAAATGATCACAAGACATCCAACTTGTTCTTCAAAAATCTTTGACAGTTTTTGAGATATTTAATTTAGTTTGGAGCTTGGTAAAGAGGCCTTCTTTAGATTTGAACATTAGTGTGTATTGCGCAGCTCGTTAAGGGTTAAAGTACGTGATGTCACAGAGGAGAGCTTGAAATTTGCCTTAAATGTTTTTTTTTTTGTTTTGTTTTTTTTTATAAACCTGCCATAATTCCCAAACCCTACACTCCTGGGACATAATTTGATGCTTGAATTGTGGGAAAACCTCTCTTACATTGACAAATAAAAACATTTTAACCTGTTAAGCCCTGAGCCTGTTTTTCAGGTCTCAGGCTCGAAAATGACATTCCCAGAACAAATGACTATATCTTCACTTCTAAAAGGGGTAAATTAATAATCTTTTCTCTCAAAGTAATGATAAACCTATGAGTTGGATGTAGAAAAGTCAGAATCAATATAGATGTTTTTATTTTAAAGTCAATTCAGATTGAACATAGTAAAACAATGTAAATTATAGTGTCT